TATTTCGACATTAATTATGTCATCATCAGGAATTCCTGATGATGACATAATTAATGTCGAAATATTGAATCCCAACACGATGGCGTGTATTTCAATACTTGGAGTATGTATTATACTTTCTTAAAAACCTTGAATGTTGAAGGACTTTAAAGTCCTTAAGTCATTAAAAGACACCAGCTCAAAGTCGGGAAAGCTCATATCCAGCCATGGAATCAAAATTTTCCCGGGGGACGACCCCCGGAACCCCTCCCTTTTTTTTTAGGGTTCTTGGGAAAAATTATGGCCCACCCCACCCTCTAAAATTGAACCCATTATATTCATATTCCCATTTATCTACTAGTGGGCACACTTTGAAAAACGTTCCGCTGGCCGTGGCATAAAAATGGAGAACAAAATTATATTTACTGTGCATTTCCGGCCATCTAAAGGTGGAATAACCATCTTGCTTCAGAACCAACCATGGTAGGGCCTGTCTAGATCCTCCATCTGCGAAAGCCCCTCCCTGCACGCCCCACCCCCTCTCCTTTTAAATTCCTGGATCCGCCGCTGGCTCCATGGTAGCATTCTGCCGTTTCAAATAACGCACTGTTTTAGTTGATTGTTCGTATGGGTAAAATAAAAGAGGGACGTTTTCATCATTTTATATCTGCGAAAGTCCCTTCCTACATACACACCCCACTCCAGGGGTCCCAATTTGGAAGAACCCATTTCCGGGAGATTCATTTAATGAAATTAGGGGCGCTATATATATTCTATGAGGAAAAAGTGTAGGTACCAAACGAAGGGCCACGCCCACCTCAGGCCCACCATGATTGGGGGAGGTGATGAGATTTTTTAGGCACCTCAAGAAGCCCGGAAATTGCACCGTCAGACTGCAAAAAATAAGCGGCAACCCAAGTTTAGGCCAAAATAAAACAATTTTTTTTTTTACTGAATTTGCGGGAGAAGTGAATTTCCGGGGAGATTTTTGCTTGTTTGCAGGAGTGCGGGAGACCATACCGATTTCCAGGAGTCCGGGAAAATTGGGATCCCTGCACCCCGCACTTCTATTTTAAATTCCTGGCCACTGCCTCCATCAGACGGTGGGTGCCACTGTTTCAAGTTGTTTAGTCGCTCGTTGATTGTTAGTATGGTACGTAAGATAAAAGAGGGGCTTACTTTCATCATTTTATAAGTTATAACCCACTGCCATGACGCAGCCACCACCCAATCATAGATATGCAGGGGATCAAGTGGGCTGAAAGTCTAAAAAGAAAGTTGACATTAGGTTTCAGGTTTAATTCATTTATTAATTCACTTGCAACTTAAGGCTAAACTTAACCTGAGTGGTACAGAAAGTAACAGGGTCAAAAAAGGGTGGATTTTGAAAATGGCCCTGTGGGAATTGGACCCAGACCAAAACTTAATTTTGGTGTAAATCCATCGTCATTCACATAACAATAGCAATTAACATTAAATTATTGATGATGATAACAGACTTATGCCTGTTTGCACAACAGGTCATAGGGCTTTATAATAATGGGAAGTGATGTTGAAATTTTGCAACAAAAAAGTCATTAAAAAGTACAAAAACGTAAACACGAAAAAGAAAAATACTAAATACTAGGCCTACTATAGAAAAATATGAAAAAAAAAAACAAAAAAAAAAAAACAATGAAAAACAACTTCATGACTAACGCGACGTTAGTGAGCAGTGGCGGCGCCAGGATTTCCCCGATAGGGGCTGATGTCCTCGACGAGCAAAAAAAAATATGGCGTGGTCGGGCGTCGCTAAAAACCTTACGAAAGTGGTCCGGGGACGATAGCCCCCCCGGGACTATGACAATATTAGAGGTTTCCAAGGCTTATTTAATCGATTTTAGAGTCTACAATATGTGCAAAATACATAGGCCTATAATTTTTTTGATTTTCTTTTTCTCCCCGACACAGAAATTTAATAATTTCTTCATTGTAACTTGGTTAAACTTTCCCGAAAGTTTCATTCAGATCCAGTAGATTAGTGTTGAATGGTCCTCATATCCACACCCTACTCCAGATCTTCACAATTAGTAATGGTCCTCATATCCACACCCTACTCCAGATCTTCACAATTAGTAATTTCTTCACTGAACCATGACAAACTATTCTTGAAAGTTTCATTTAGATCCATTGATAACATTTTTTTCAAATATTTAGGTCTGGGACGTTTTTTGATTTTGATTTTCTTTTTCTCCCCGACACAGAAATTTAATAATTTCTTCATTGTAACTTGGTTAAACTTTCCCGAAAGTTTCATTCAGATCCAGTAGATTAGTGTTGGGTACATCGGACCTGGAAAGTTTTCATTTGAATGGTCCTCATATCCACACCCTACTCCAGATCTTCACAATTAGTAATTTCTTCACTGAACCATGACAAACTATTCTTGAAAGTTTCATTTAGATCCATTGATAACATTTTTTTCAAATATTTAGGTCTGGGACGTTAGAAATGTAAATGACCCTCACCTTCACACCCGAATCTGGATCTTACTTGTACCTTCTTTAAACTTTCACGAAAGTTCCATTAAGATCAGTGGATTATTTTTTGAAATATCTGGTCTAGAACCTTTTTCTTTGAATGGTCTTCATATATCCACACCCCACTCCGGATAGTAATCATAAAGTAATAATTTCTTCATTGGATCATGAAAAACTCTTATGAAAAGTTTCAGTTAGATCTATTTATAGGTTTTTTTTTTTATAGATATTTAGGTCTGGGAAATTTAAATGACTCTCAAATTTACAAGCTAAACTAGACTGTCAGCAGAACATAATATTTCTTCCTTGTAACTTGGTTAAACTTTCCCAAAAGTTCCATTCAGATTAGCTGACCCGTTAAAATTTGTCCTCATATCCACACCCCACTCTAGATTGTCGCTAAATTTTAGGAGGCACATCTTTGATATATGATCTATGCTTGGACAAAGTCTTAAAACGATCCAAGTGAAAGTGACCAAAGTGCCGGCTGGAATAACCCAGTAAAAAACACAATATGTAAGAAAATAAAAATCCGAACAAAAACGAAGGCTTTTCCAACTACTGCTGGGAAAAGCTAACAATAATGATGATGATGATAATAATAATAATAATAATAATAATAATATTAATAATAATAATAATAATAATAATAAATTGAAGTGTATAAGAGGTGTTAACAAAAAGAATTCGCTAAGTGGCAAATAAGGAAGTTGAATTGGAGATAAATAACGTTTCAGAGAAAGAAAATATTGTACCAACCATGGTTTGTCTTTTCTATGGTTTGTTTTTATCCAACAGAATAGTTTATCTTTTACAAAGCACAGTTCGCCTTTCACAATGGTTTATCAAGCCATAGTTTGTAAAAGACGAATCAACTGTTGTCTTAGAAAAATACAAACCATTTTTCTTTCAGAAACAGAATGTGGGGTTAGGACCGTTTCGGCCGCGATGTATGTAACACCTTTAATATTGTATGTTTTCAGTCAATTCGAAATATCCTAATGCTAATTATCATATAATAAATATGCGTATTGAACGTAATGTAATAAAAAGACTGTGGGAAGGCAAAAACAACACATTTACTACTTATGTCAATTCGACAGGGGAAGCTTAGGCCAGGTATAACATACAATTAAAAAAGTGTAATTTGAAGTTCAATAAACTTTTAATTTTACCTGGATAAGCCTATTTAGCTGTAAAAGATATTGTATATTTGAATAATAAGACTCCTTGAATAACCCTCACATTGAGATTTAGACGGGATAAGGTACTGTACATATCTGTTACATGTTGACAGTCCAAATTTTCAATTTCATGTTGGATGAGCACAAATAAAGTTATAACTTTACTAAAAACACACTGACTGATTTTCTGGATGGTAAATACATCACGGCTGAACTGGTTCGCAACTGAAAACAGATGGCATGGTGTTTCATACAGCACTCTGTTTTGGAAAGTAATTTATTGCAAGATATATCTAGTGGGGTCTTCTGGTGGCAAATTGGGCACACACCAAGAGGAAATCTCCTGCTTTTTTTTTTTAAAGAGTGTACTGCTCTTTAACATACACATGGGTCATATTTCCAGACAGGACCAACTACTCCAGTTGAAACAAGAGAAGGGCAAAATTGAATTAACCAGGTACTAAAGGTGTAAAAGCTCTCCAGTCATCACCCGGTGGCTACCACCAGTTTAGCCAACTATTAAAGCTAAGACTATTTTCTAGTTTCATCATATTATGATAAATATACATAACAGCATTTAACATAGTAAGCACCTTAAATAGTGATAGAATATTAAGAATAATGAGAATAAAATGATAATAAACCAATAAAAACAAAAATGTAAATAATATTAATAATAAAATACTGTAACAATAAAATAATTATTAATACAGGCACAATAAAAGTATTATAACAAAAAATAATGTGAATAAATAACAGCATTCTGCATCATTCTATATTGAAGAGAAAAAAAACGTACCAGTAGTTGCAACAGGTGTTATTAAATATTAAATAACCTATTTGTCAATCAATTTTATATTTCAAATTAACTTTCAAATCAAAATGAATGCCTTTCAACACAAGTGGTTGTGCATAAACTAGGCACACCACTTGACATCAACACTGAATTGAGCATCTACCTTCATAAAAACTCCAACTGTGGCAAATATAAATTAGAGGGTACTCCCCAAGAATTATATTTACTGTAACTTAACTTCATAGGGCCTAAAATGCAAAAGGTAGATCCATATTCATTACTGAATTTTGAGACAGAAAAACAACTGTTGCGCCAACCTAGCGTTTACTGTAGCAAGTGTACAACATCTTCAGCACATTCTGCCAACTTTGGTAATAAGGTTTTATTTTGTAGTTGGCTAATAGTTGGAATGATGTCTAGTGACTTAGCAAGAAATATTGAGTCTTTATCATTGTGCAATAGAGTACCCAATGTTACCAGTAATCTGAAGGTAGCTTCCTCATCCTGTTCGACTTCAAGCACCGCAGCAACAGCAGACAACAGCTGCAACTTGGCCTCCCCATTCTGCATATCATGCTGTTGAACTGCATAATTTAGCAGGACTGTGGACAGTGCTATTTGTAAATTTTTATTGCTAATGTTTTTAGAATCTACAAGCAAACTAATGATGTCTTCTCTGTTGCTTCTTAGAAGCAATGCACCAGGATTACATTGGAATGCATTGCACAATGTTCGGAATACTAGCATTTTATTAGCTAGTTTTGAGTTTGGGGATGAAACATGCTGAAGGTATGAGAGGAAGGTAGCACCATCTTGTTCATTACAAAAGTATTGGTTGACAAATTGGTTACGGATGGACAATCGTAGTATGTCTAGTATTGGAAACACTTGATCTGAAAAAAAGAACAAGTGAAAGTTTTCAACAATCATAAAAATTATTGTATTTCTAGGCTAGCTAAAGATCACATAAATTCCAAAGCATACAAAGCACAGAGAATGCTAGAATAAGTAAATTAACAATATTTTAAACAATTGTAGTGCCTTTCCTTGCTATTTATTTCTCACGTTTATGGTAGGTGGAAGTTATCGCAACCATACTTTTTCCTATACAGTACTTTCACACAGATCACACTGTAAGTTCTCCCTAGTTATACCACTATACTGTATGTCACATGACCAGCAAACTGTGATAGCTTTACTTTTAAAGTATTTAGTTATTTTGCTATTCTTAATATGAAAATATAATTTGCTAGTGATATCGCTATAGCAGATATTCCCGTCTCTACCCAACTGTTCTGTTACTGATAATACCATTATTAAAGATAATTAAAACAAAACAATGATATCTAATTAAATCGTCATGGATATAACTTTGCATAATCATTACTTTATCAAAAATATAGTTTTCATTTTAACATAAATTGTATTAAAGAATGCTTGCGATACACCACCTCAACTATTAATTTAGTTGAGGACTGATGTTTTTAGTGAGTGGCTTCCATTGTCTATAGGAGAATAAATATTTTCAATTGAAGCAGACAATTGAAGCAACTAAAAAAACTAAAAAAAAAACTTTTCAAAACTACCTACAGAATATGGTGTGACTTCAAACATTTTAGTGGAGTAACTACGAGTCACAGGGTTGGAGGGGGGGAGAGAAAGCGTTAGGGCCCTGTTCATTTTAGTACTGGATTACGAGGGACAACTTTATAGTGCAATATCAAACAGTACCACAGTGTGTTATATTACAAAAAATTTAATCTAAATTCTGTGTGAATTTTTGTAGCCCTTCACTTCATTATTTCTTCAGAGTACTGCATTTAAATGTTTGTAGTGAAGCCCAGCTTTGGAATTGATCATTCAATTTGGAATTGGTGCTATATAATATTTGAGCATTATTATTATTATATTGAATAAAATAGGTGTTGTCATATTAGGACATCCATGAGTTAAAAACGTAGTATTACACTGTCTCAATCTGATAGTTTTGGGTGTTTTCTACTTAACCATAATGTCAAGGCTCTGCTAGAAGAATGGGGCTTATTAGTGGGAGGGACCTCTGGGGCCACTTTGGGCTGGCAGTCTGGGGCATTTCCTCATCAATTAAGCTGGAACCACACCTAGTTTGCAATGTATCATTAATTACATTTGAATTGAACAAGTTAATTATATATGGAATGGTTGATTTACAGAATCGTTCAGTGCGAAAGCTGAATTGAGACAATTTATCATTGGAGCATGAATATACTTTATCTTAATATAAGTATACTACAGGATTTATGAATTGTTATCACATCAAGTTAAATCATCTTATGAGATTGCACGGCAAAAAATCAGTTAAATGTACCTGAGGGCCACTTGAGAGCCTTGTGAAGGATATGCAGCTCTTTGAGTGATTCTGATGAGTTAGTTTGACTTGCTGCTTCTGCAATTACTCTTAGTTGCTCTATCTCTGATGACTCTAATTTATAATCATCTCCTACATTCCCATTTAATTCTGTTATTTTCCCTGAAGATAACAAATACAGGTGATCAACACACATTTGATTTATTCGGTGTAAACACCAAGGATAGCCCATGAAAGTCTAGAAGAAGACTTATTTCCTGTGGGGTCCTTCTGGTGGTGATCGGGCAGTACACCGGCAGACAATCCCCTACCCTTTTCCGAAGAGTGTACTGCATTCATTAACGTGCACATGGGCCATAATGCACATGGGACCAATGGCTTAACATCTCATCCGAAAGACGGTACGCTATTGTAACTTGTATTTCAGCCCTCTAGCTGAAACACAATGAGAGGCAGCGATGGGAATTGAACCAGGGACCTAGAGATCTCCACATAAGGAGTTTTATATGGTGCTATGTAATAATTAATTACTTGACCACTGGAAGTAGAAAAATATTAGCATAAAAGATATAATACACAATAATGATTTGATATAAAGTATGCCCTCTCAATTCAAGACCACTCTAATCTCTAGACCAGCATTTCAAAGCATTAACTGACAATGTGAATTGTTTAACACAAACCTAACCCTCTAACTGGAGACCAAACCCTAAGACAGGGTTCGTACATTTTTAAACTAGCAAATTTCCGGGACAATTCCAGGACATTCTAGGTCAAATTTTCCAAATTTCAAGGACACATACACCACACACACACAGTAAAATATCGGCGATTTTATGATTGACTACAAAACATTATTTTCTTTCATATATATTTAGGTGTTTATACATGTTTAAACTTGTATAAACTAATGATGTACTGTATTATTAATTTAATTAATGGTATGCTCTATAGTTCTCTACACATCATCATACTACTGTATTATTTTTTTTAAATTATTATTATTGATATAAGGTCTATTATTATTAGACCTTAGTTATTAATTATATCTCTGTATTTGGACATTTATAATGCTGTAGGCCTATGCAAACTTTTATAATGTACTATACAGGCATTTAGTGTTAGAAAATTAATTGTTAATTAACTGCCTCGCAGTGGATAGGGCCAAATATGTCCATTCGTGCAGAACAAGTGTGTACGTCTGAAGGGTGATGAAATAGCCAAGGGAATTCACAGGGCTGAGCATGTGCGACGAGACCTGTTAAACTGAAGTTTAAGTTTAATATTACTGTTTATAACACACAACAGAAAGCAAATAAAAACACAATAGCAGATATCAACTAAGTTAATGATTATGATTATCAATGTCTGAATTAAAATTACAGGCAAACATAATTAATATACAAAATTATAAGAAAGCTTCGCTTTATACTAAAATATAGGTGAACAACTCCATTCACTGAATTGCACAAGTTTGAATCACTGCCAGCCATTCGGCCACTTTCAGAATTTGACATTCTCTGTCTTTGATAACATTCCTGAATTGGCGGCGTACAAAGACTTGACCTGCTTCTCCCAAGAGATCCGTGGGAACCTACTTGTGGGAACGTTTCTCATTCAATTTACTGTGACTGGCAACTTGCTGTACTGGATAAATGGTAAACGATCAAATTTCCAGGACATTCAAGGACAATCATAAATTTCCCGGACTTTCCAGTACTGGAAAATGCTAATTTATTTTTCCAGGACATTCAAGGAATTTAAGGACGTGTACGAACCCTGCTAAGACTGCCCCAAATTATCAGGTCTCAAAGGTGGTCGCAAGCTGGAGGGCAAAAAAAAAAACAAAAAAAACAAAAACAGAAATGTCTTAACACAAATAATACTGATAGCCTTTTAAGAAAAACCATCGAACAGCTCAGAGTATCAATTAGTATCTAGTAGTCGGAACCCAACTACTCCTAACTACCAATCAGATACTCTATTAACTGAGCTATAGGGCCAAGATGTACAGTATATATCCTTGGATTTTCCCACTATGGAACACATGTTTTCTCAAGCATATTCCTTTTATGTACAGTAAAACATCCATTTTACATAACCCTTGGTACCAAAGGGTGTTCGTAAATTGAAAAATTTGTAAACTAGATTGAGTGTCAGTTTCCAATACCTAGGCCTAGCTATCCGCTGCCATTGAGCTGACAGTGGCCAAGCCTAGCATGAACCGACAGTGCAGCAGCGTGGTCTAACAAGTTAGAGCTTAACTGAGTTTACCTTCGATAAAAACCAAATTATTTTAATTGTTGGCATTCTTCCACTTAACAAAATATTATTAATAAAAATAAAAATTCAAATATTAACAAAACTCTAATTCAAACATCTGTTTGTTTTATTGACTCTTTTTATCGTGTTCTTCCTGGTTGTTAGATAGCCGAATTGCGTTGTTTATATGCATATTGCGATCATATTGAACATTCACGATGTCAATAAGTTGCTGACCCCAACACTCTAGTTCGTCATGATGTCATCAGGGGCAAAGATCATTCGTAAAATTGACTATTTGTAAAATCGACGTTCGTAAAATGAACATTTTACTGTAAATGGCTATAGTATAGTAGTGTAGTATAGTATTTGTCAAGCCAAGAAGCGCAAGGTCACATGCACAGATCATTGTTGATAGATTTCAAACCAGCGAACATGCGCTCCGAAGTTAGATTCCTACACAGTGCATCTGCCTTGGTATGGGCAAGAGTGCAGGTTTGGTATACTGGGCCATATTATTTAACCTTTAAGCCCACAGTTTGTCCTAATACGGCAAATTCATCAGCAACTCTACGCACAACATATTTAGTTGTTATACCATATCCTTTCCTCATAAGAGAAATGCAGAGGGGTAATCTGCATGAACATATCCTACCTATTATCTGCTGTAAATTGGCAGTATCAAATGTTATAAAGCCTTTTTTGGGAAAATATTTCATTTTTTGTGACGAAGCAGAGCTTGAGGGCATGGAAGAAGTTGGTACATGTCTGGCGCCACCTGTAAATGGGTCACTATGAACTGTTGGTGGTTGAGCACCTGATGATGAGCCCTGTGGGACGTATCTTCCACCACCTGGTAAATGAAACAAAATGAAATCTATTACATCTACAACATCCTGACCTCTCCAATCTGATTAGCTGAGATGCAACAATTGCCTTTTTTTTAAGTAACTTTATAATTATAAGGAAATACGAACATGAAACGAGACTATTATATGCAGAGTAAAGAGGGGGGCTTCTTTTCAAAATTACTGCTGTAAATTTTGTGAATTTGTACTATAAAACAATAAATACGGGCACTGTAACATCAAATCTGTATCATCGAGTGTATTTAACTGACAGTAAATCGCCTAAAATACTGTATAAACCAAGCTTGTTTTTAATTTATTTTGAGTTTTTTGAAATTCAAGTAGAGTGTATATACTATACTATCTCAAAAAGAAGCCTATGCTATTTTGAGTGAGCTTCAAATGAGATGTGTATAAGAGACAGATATATATATGTGTGTGTGTGTGTGTGTGTAAAATGTAATATTTTCTATAAATTTGGCTTATGTAAAATAATTTAATATGATTTTATTTTATAAAATTAATTATTAAAATATATATAATATTATGAAGGTAACCTGTGTAGGGATCTGTATAAGCTGGGGCAGCTGTTCCTAATGTTACACCTGCAGTGTTTGAGATGATGAAATTAGCAATCTGTTCCAAGTAAGCCTGACTGAGTTCATGTTTGTGGATAAACTGCTGAGCAACATGCCATGGATCATCTGAGACATTGTAAGGGAGCTTCAATGCAGGCCGACCTTCTTCCATATCCACTGAAAACACATAATCATACTCCTAGTTCAAAAAACATAAGAAAGAAACCTAAATAGAAGTTGCTTTTATAGAATGTTTAAAAATCTTGTTAGAATTGAAGCTAAAACAGCTGAAGATCGATCTTTAAGATTTTTGTCAGGTTTAGGAAACTTTTTACATGAAAGTAGAGTTTAAGTCTTATACTTTGTATATGAGTAATAATGTAATGTGGTTTAGTTTGAAACACTTCCTTTTTCCATCCTAATAACTAAACATGTTAATAAACAGATTTGATTTCTTAACGCTGATCACATGAACTTTTCTACCTGATTATTTATATTTTTCTTAATATTTTAAATTGTTTTCATGGCCTCGTCTTACATTATTATTATGCAAACTTAGTCAAGTTTCATTTAATGCTGAAGGAGATTTGCATTTTTTTTTTGTTTAAATTACTATTACACTGTCATAGAATAATCCTTGATTGTGTGCTCTGGGGCAGTAGTTTGGAATTCAATCCAAAATAAATACTTACTTTGCCTTCATACATAACTTTCTGTCCTGCTGTCTGTTTGCCATCGCTCGACCCAACTACATCACCTATCTTGCTCCATTTCCCTTCTGCCTGACTCCATGAGTAAGCCTCCACAGTATTACCCACTTTTACTAACTTAGTTTGTCCATCCTTTTTTCCTATAAAAATATAACAATAACAACAATAACAATCATAATAACAACATTAATAATATTAATATTCAGATATATTACAAATTAACTAAATAATTAACTAGCATAAAATATTCAATTGGCAGTTGATCACCAATCTGCTAGAGATGATGTCATCTGTAAGGGATTTGCCTGAATGAAACTTGAATGAATGAAAGTTGTGAAAACGTTACGATGATGAATAATATACCTGGATTTAACAGATCTTCTTTTCCAGGAAGATCCTCCGGTTTGATTCCTCCAAGATCACTAGACTGCACAGGAATGGCAGAAGATGCTACTTGCTGGTTAAATAGATCTACCTCATCCTGACTAGCTTTCCTAGAAGGGTCCCTGGTGAACACTCTTGCCATATTGTCACTATTGAAACAGTGCAAAATAAAAAAAAATAAAAAGAATAATACATTACAATATCTACAATAAGTTGAGTTTGGTAATGTGTTTACTTCAAATCAAAACTTTATTTCACATGGTGTTACTACCAGTAAGTGTTATGAGTACCTCCTACACTCTGAAACCAGTTGCTTGCATTTGACATCAAGATAGCTTCATATATTTTCAATTTCAAGAGCAGACTTTTAAATATTTTCTACGTAAACTTTCTTAAAGCACCACAGAACATTGATTTACATATAAAACTTTGTCCCAGTATAATTTATTGAACATTATGTATTTAGATAATTTTTTTTTTCTCAGAAAAATGAAAAGTTGGATTCAAACCAAAAATCATGTAATCACTATTTGGTTTGATTTGGCTCAGCTGATACTCTCATTTATAATTTTCTCATTAAGAAATGTTTTCTTCAATACATTGGCTACATTATGACTAAAGCAATAGTCCTAAAATTCAAAAGTATATTAAAATATTATTCTAAAAAAAAAAATTTTTTTCTGTTGTATTATTAAGGAATATAGTATAAAATGTTAAAAAATGTACTGCAATATGTTGAAATATACTGAGACAAATATTTTTTTAGAGAAAATCTAATGTCTCTGAATTCAAAGCAACTTCATAGATAATTTGGTCGAGAACCCAAATGATAATCTAAATATCCAGTGGTAATAATGTTTTTCAAAAAATATTATAAATCATCCTTGTACATTACTGATGGAAGTGTTTCTTGATATAGGACGTTAATTTTTTGTAAGGCATCAATATGTAAATAGATATAGCACTATCTACATTCCCAGTATGCTGATACAATTTAATCATAACTCTTGTATAGCACTTTGTATCGAAAATTAGTGCATTAATTTAGTGATTGACACATACCTAGATCCAGCAGCAATGTCACCATTTGAAAGAGAAGTAACACACCAGACAGATTGAGCAGGCAGCGTGATAGTTTGGTGACACTGTCCCCCTACCCAGACACGAACTGTCCTATCCTCTCCTGAGGTGACAAAGTCCTCTCCATTTGGCAACAGTGCAATACTATAAACAAAGCCTGTGTGTCCTTTGTATTCGAACATACACTCCCCGTTGATGGTCCATCGACGTATGGTGGTGTCATTGCTCGATGACAGAAATTGTGTCTCCGAAATGACGGCTAGTGCACGGACACAATCTGTATGACCTGTAAAATTCAGCAGACATTTATATTTATTTGTTTCCGCATAAATGTAAGGAATTTGTCAAAAGAAGCTCCAAGTGATAATAATATTTGTTTACACAAAACAATATTACCAAAATTTATTTGGCAAAATTAAAATATAGCAATAAACCTAAACATTGAAAACTCAATATTATAAACTATATAATAAACTATGTTGTTACAATTTCCAACTATAATACTTTGTTTTCCTTCATTGCCAAAAACAATAACCTACCTATAATTGTTTGTTCACATTTACCAGCCTTCCAGGTCTTAATTGTTTTATCTGCCGAGCCAGTGATCATTAAACCATTTGCTGGTATAATAGCAACTGCCCATACTGTAGCTTCATGTCCCTTTAATGTCATTACATTCTTCTCATTAAGCCAGACTTTAGCTGTTCTATCCCATGAACCACTGAGCAAGGTGCCAAATTTCCCAGCAGCCAGGCAGCACACTGTAAAATTAATGCATTCAAATTATCTTCACATTGTTTTATGACACCATCATATACCTGTAGTATCATAAATATTGGAGGACTGGAGCTACAATTGGTTCTGTCTAAGACATGGTTAGAAACTGAATCTATGCAGTATGATTGCACCTTCGTTGTATCCTTTAAGAATATCTACTACAATCTAATTGTTTTTGCAGGCCAAATAAAATTCGCCCAGTGAATCGGATTTGGTGTGCTGCCAACCCAGGCATTCTAGGCCCTAACTTGGACTAACCAAGGTTTTACAATTTGTAACTGCCATACAGTTATTGACGACCTAAAAGACCAAATTAGTCACCAACGCAAAGCGGTTATGGTGGGTAAACATGACAACAAACCGCTAGGTGGCAGTTTTTTCACACAATAATAAGCCTCCGCTCGAATAAATTTCGACAGTTTTAAAATGCCTCAAACTTATTTCTTTATACATTTTATGATACTGTAAAATAATTTATCGAAAAGCCATGACGCAGGGTTCCCAGAACGCCGCCCTCAGCGGCGAGTGCGAAGCACAACTCAGGGTCAAAATTGGAACGTGAAATTTGGATATGGTTTTGTAGTCAGATTTGCGAGAAAAACTTCAGCTACCCGTATTTCACGACTGAGACGTCAGTGGGAGCTGTAATTTGTATGGCAAGGAGATTGTGCAACCCTTCATTCGTATTAAGGGAATTTACGCCCATAAACTTTGTAGTTATTAATATTTTGGTTAAAATAGAAAATATTCATTTTTTGGTGACGTCACATTCACATTAGTTAGCATGCATATGTCATAAGCTAGATACGTCACCTTTTCCTGGTAAGGCAAACTTTCCCAGCGGCGTGCTTTTTTCATGGATAAGCAAACACCACTGCTTTGCACATGGATGCCTTGCCCAAGCCAGGGCTACAAGAGCTGCATTGTTAGCATTGTATAATACTTAAACAAGGTACCTCTGCAAATGAGTTATTCTTAGTTATTTTTTTTTTCTTATTTTAATTTATTTCTTCCGAAAGTGTACTCTCTACCACATATAATTCCACTGTCTTAGTTAGGCCTAGGCCTAGTCTTATGCCTCATCATCCCCCGTTACAGTACATCAGCAGCCCCTCCCCCATACAGTACAGACGTTTGCTAGGTAACAATGTGATTGCACTCATTTTCACAAAGCATTTGCATCCCCTCTAGGAAAGAGGGATTCGAAATAATTGTCTCCATATCTTCACTAATTGAATTAATCACCGTAATTTAGCTTACACTTATGAATTTATGGAGCACTTAAAATGTGAAATAATCATTTCACTACCCGACAAACTCCAAACTCTATTCATTCATTAGGCCTACATAATAGTTTCATATTGCTGTACTATATACCCAACATCACTGGCGCATGGCAACAACCAACTGACTGCAGACCATTTCCGATCACACATTACTCTCCATAACACAGCACCCCCTAGTTCCATCACCTCTGGGTAAATATTATTTCTTTAATAAATGTCAGAATTTTGACTGTTTGATTTGAAATGGAGTGAAATAAACAGATGGAAAACATGTTTGCTTAGCCTTGTCATGTGAACATGGCCTAGACCTTGACTATGTAGTTATACTGTACAAACAACGTTCTTCTGACTCACTAGCCATCGTAGTCAAAAGAAACATCTTATTCTACAATTCAGCAATTTAAGTTTGTCTAATAGTTTACTAACTTTAATGACAGTTTTAACGTTCAGTTAATGTCATTGCCAAAGCCAACTATACTTTGCATGGGAACAATCTCTCGTCTCAGCATCTAATATTAGAGAGTACATTCAATGAAACAAGTGAGCTAAACAATAAGTTGTAACCTACCTGTGTTAGCATGACCGGTGAGGGTGTATACTGGTAGCACACTGTCTAAAGTGTATGCATTGATTTTGAAATCATTACTCCCTGTCACAATTAGTCCTGTGGGATATTTATCTGATGGTGGCATTACACACAGACAGCTTACAAAGTTCTCATGTCCTTTCATACACAGTCCTTCAAAATATGAGACACCCTCACTGCAAATAAGGTTGAAAAAAATCAAATGAAATTTCACACTGATATCAAACCTATATTTAACCACAGTGTAACTAAACCTATATTTAAGTTAGATTGGAACAAGAAGTAGCACAAGCCAAGTTAGACACACAGAAATGATGAAATCACCAGTTACTGTTTTGTTTACTATAAAGAGTAAATAAAATATGTTTTTACATTATCAGTATCTAGTACAGTAATATTACACTGTTTACAACAAACAAAAAATGAAAACATACAATGCTTAATTTAAATATGATAAAAAAGTTATAAGAAATGCATAAATTTATTATCTTATATAACAAGATATGGCCAAAGTGAATTAAACATTTAACTTTTCAGGGTCAACAGTGTATGATTAGAGCATGCTGTTACACACTATTTCAATGAAAATCTTATTATACATTTTCCTCTACTGTAAATCAATAACTTTCTACCTTGTTTTGCAGACCCACCTAACACTAAAGAGGATTTCAAATAAAAATAAATATGATGTGTTTTGGCTCAGTGGTTGCTGTTCTGCTTCGCATCAATCTCTCACTGTGCATTTTGTTTGAGTCCTAGGCTAGGCACTTTACCTAAGGTTCTTCTCTCCACCTACAGTAGTACTGTGGTACAAGTGGGTACCTGGCAGGTTCAAACACAAAATGCGCTGATTACTTAGCTGCAATTTTATGGATTCTCCCATTGAGCTAAGGATGTGCTCCATACTGTATATGGTTGATCCAATGACCAGAGTAATTAACGTGAAGTTCTTAAAGGTCTTGTTGGCATGAAGTGCATCTACAGTATATAAGTCTACTGTATCATTTATTAAAACGAATCATTAAATTAAAAAAAAAACCCAGTATATTTAATTTAATTTTACTCGCAAAAAGGCTGCCTTTGCGAGGCTGTGAATACTGGGGCTGGTCCAGCAAAATACTACAATTACTGCCATATAATACTGTACAAGATTAATATTCTAATACATACAGTATATATATGCTTATATTAAATAGCTAAGATTTTAACAATTATTTTAGAAAGACATTTTGCAAATGAAAGACAAAATTACAGTACATATAAGAACCAATAACTAAGAACCAAGATAAAAAGAAAGACATTCCTTATTCAACACATTTATTGACTTATTGATTAATATGGTCACTTTTATAATATATAGGCCTTTTATTGGTGCTATGATATATTTATTCCAAACCTGTCCTTACTTTAAAAGTTAGTGATAACTATGTATTATTCTGTGCTGCGCACCTATTTTTCTTGGTTTTTCCACGCAAATTTGAGGTAATTTTTTATGTATCATCTACGCAATTGTACAGAATGGTTTTTTTTTATTCTCTGTAATAAATATAGATAAAGAAAATCTTAAATCCTTAAATTTTAACAAGTAATCTTTTGTTGCCAGTCAATTTTTGGCTTTAAAGTCTCCACAGTAATAATAATAAAACATCGAAGCTGCAATCCAAATGCCTCTGACCCCAGTTGATCCATCTTTGCAATTAAGTACAGCAGGCCTAGTAGTACTATAGTATCTCAAAATTTTCTAGTTTTGGTTTTCTCAATTCCAAGTGTTTTTTTTTTGTTTTTTTGTTTCTTTTAGGAGGATAAAAAAGGTTAGATAGATATGCTCGTGTTATATGAGGTCTTCTGAGTCATGAACCAGTGAGCTCATTTAATGGAGAGTTAAAAAATGCTAGTAAATGGAGCGGAAGTGATGGTTCCTCTGCTTCGGGTTAGGCAAGGGACAAAGTGAATTTTTGATTTAGTAGTGAGGGCTGATCTAAATGTTTCCAATGTGCTTGCAAAAACCTTCATGCATTGCTTTTATACCGCTTTATGCTCAGTTTAATGTTACTTTTTACATATGATCCTTGTCAGGCCGTTAAACACAAGAGGATTTCTAGCCAAAAAGGTGGCTGGCAGGCCACACACTTAGAGAGTTCCTAAAATATACTCGCGGGCCACAGTAAAATTACCATTGAATTGCATGTGGCCTGCAGGCCACACTTTGGCCACCTGGAGGCTAGGACCTGCTGTAGTGGTATCTGATCATTTTGGCCGCAAAGTATGGAGTGCTGAAGGTGTGACCGCGAATCTAGAACAAGATCGTAAAGTAGTATACCGTTTGTTAAGAATTACTGTATTTTTTTAGTATTTTATTAATATTATTACAGGTTATAATACTGTATCAACTGGCATTATTTTTCTTTTTAAAGAAACAATGCAACAATACATAAACGATGATAAACAATACGGCGCAACCGAAATGATCTGGGCGCTAATGCACTTTCGCACCTAACTTTTAATTCTTAATTTTTTTACCTCAATTTTCTTCTCACAGTCACAACACATAATTAAAAAACATTTTTACATGATTCAACCACTCATAGAGTACATTTTTTCAACAAAAAGATACCTTTATAAATATAGGTTGATACAGGGTTTCCGCGCTTGCTAGCACGACGAGCTGTACTTTTTTGCAATCAAGTAAGAAATTGCCAGAATGTCCGAGTCAATTCTTAAATTTTGAAACTATTTAAGGCCAATCTTATAATTTTAATTGGAATTTTCCCATGAAACATCCGACAACAGAATTGGCATCATGCAGTACCATCTTTTTTAACTTTCTTGTCGTAATCGAGGTTAATCGAACCGACGTTTATCATTGGCTTTAATAGTTGTTTTTCTGGATTTAGGCCTAGGCTCCTAGGCCCTATTTTTCGATCTGTGTACGCTTGGATGATTACTAATTTTTAAAGTAATTATTGTACGTGTGAATTTCATGTGAACACACATAGTCGAACAACAGCACTATACAATATAAAGAATGACATACAATACGTCAAATAGATAGTTTTCATAAACGTTTAATCAAAAAACTTCACGCTGCAAACTCAGACATTCTGGCAATTTCTTACTGATTGCAAAATGGCAGCCGCTCATCGTGCTAGCGAACACAGATTCGCTGTACTTATTTGTGGGCTTATTTGTTGAAAAAGGTACTTTGCGAGTGGTTAAGTCTTGTGAACATGCTTGTTAATTATATGTTGTGACTGTGAGAAGAACATTGAGGTAAAAACTTTAAGAATTAAAAGTTCTGGCAATTTCTTAATGATTGCAAAATGGCAGCCGCTTTGCAAAATGGCAGCCGCTCGTCGTGCTAGCGAACACAGATTCGCTGTACTTATTTGTGGGCTTATTTGTTGAAAAAGGTACTTTGTGAGTGGTTAAATCAGGTGAAAATGTTTGTTAATTATATGTTGTGATTGTGAGAAGAACGTTGAGGTAAAAAAAAATTAAGATTTAAAAGTTAGGTGCGAAAGTGCATTAGCGCCAATGATCTGTAGTGCATAGTTTGCAGGATATTTACTGACTTTTTCCGAATTTTATTATTATTAAATATTTTCTCAGCGCCTTGACTTGTTGTAAGTAAGCTTCTTATGAGTGATGTACAAATCTTATTTACTGTATTAATATTACCGTACGTATTATTTGACAGGCATAATTTACGAATAGGCCTAGGCATCAAACAATACTGTGCAAATAGCCTCTTCCTACCTTGAATGCACCCAAAGTCGGGATGTCCGGTCCCGAGAAGAAGTAAGAATACTGGCTTCAGTAGGGTGATTACCGGCAGAAATTGCACGAACATCGCCTTCATGCCCCACGAGTGTACAGGACAACGTAAATAATGATTCCATTATTATAGACAAAACAGCTTGATAATAATTGTGTGTCTAGCTAGGCCTAGGCTACTGTACTGAGCGAACTCGCCAGTTCGGTTTCCACTTTACAACTTCTAAAACCTTTTAAAAAGATTGATAAATATGGGGAAAAAGAAATCCGAAAGTAACTTTTCTTAATTTAAGGTCATATAGGGCTGAGGCTATCGGCACTGCCGCAGTGCGAAAAAAAAAAGCTGCTGTTTTCTATCGGCACTGCCGCAGTGCCAAAAAGCTGCTGTTTTCTATCGGCACTGCCGCAGTGCCAAAAAGCTGCAGTTTTCTATCGGCACTGCCACAGTGCGAAAAAAGCTGTTATTTTCCATCGGCATTATTGCCGCAGTGCGAAAAAAGCTCCGATTTTCTATCGGCACTGCCACTCGAAAAGTTGCTGTTTAATTATCAAATGGATATTTTTATTAAATTATTATTATTATTATAAATTATATATATAATATATATATATATTTATATATATTGTATATATAATTATATTATATAAAAGAACATATGTATATATATACATAAATATATATATACATACACATACATATATATACATATATATATATATATACATATATACATTTACATATACATATATACATATACATATAAATAAATACATATATATATATACATACATATATATATATATACATAATATATATTTATATATATTGTATATATAATTATATTATATAAAAGAACATATGTATATATACATAAATATATATATATATACATACACATACATATACATATATATACATATACATATATATATACATATAAATACATACATACATATATATACATAAATATACATATATATATATACATATATATATACACATATATACATATACATATATATACATATATACATATATATATATATATATATATACATAGGCCTATACATATAAATATACATATATATACATATATTTATACATATACATATACATATATATATACATATACATATGTAGATATATATATACATACACATACATATATACATATACATTTACACACACACACACATATATATATATATATATATAATAATAATAATAATTTAATATTTTTTTGAAACAGAATAATATAGGCAAAATTTTATTGAAAAAAACCAAACAAATTTTACATTTACGACGTATTGTTGATTTAATATGCTGAATCATTATTAATGGAATATAGGCCTACCTATTATATACCTATTATATTACTATAAATTAATCAACAATCATCTCATTAATCACACTATCGTAAATTGGCCTATTGAAGCATTATTGAAGTATTATTAATTATTCACTAAAGCATTATTCGAACACCTTTATTATTATTGTTATTATTATTATTTATATATATATATATTATTTATCAACCATATTAACATTGAAAATATTAATATGCATATGTGGATAAAATTATTGCAGAAAATAAACTTATAATTTATAAGATTATTTTTTAAAACAGAATCAAATAGATAGTGTTTTTATTTAAAAGCAGGTTTTTTGCATGGACGTAATTTTATTTAATATGCTGATTATTGCTATTTCATTAATTAAACTATCGTAAAATTATTATTATTATTATTATTATTATTATTATTATTATTACTATTATTATTATTATTATTATCATTATTATTATTATTAAACCAAAGAAATTTTACATTTACGACGTATTGTTGATTTAATATGCTGAATCATTATTATATTTCTATAACATAATCAACAATTATCTCATTAATCACACTATCTTAAAACATAATCAAATAGATAATGTTTTTATTTAAAGGCAGGTTTTGCATGGACATAATTTTATTTAACATGCAGATTATTGCTATTTCATTAATCAAACTATCGTAAAATTATTATTATTATTATTATTAAACCAAAGAAATTTTACATTTACGACGTATTGTTGATTTAATATGCTGAATCATTATTAATGGTATATAGGCCTACCTATTATATTTCTATAACTTAATCAACAATTATTTCATTAATCACACTATCTTAAATAGGCTTATTGAAGCATTATTGAAGTATTATTAATTATTCACTAAAGCATTATTCGAGCATCTTTATTATTATTATTGTTATTATTATTATTTATTTTTTTAATATATATTATTTATCAACCATAATATTAACATTGAAACATGAATATGCATATTTGAATAAAATTATCGCAGAAAATAAACTTATAATTTATAAGATTATTTTTTAAAACAGAATCAAATAGATAACGTTTTTATTTAAAAGCAGGTTCTTGCATGGACGTAATTTTATTTAATATGCTGATTATTACTATTTCATTAATCAAACTATCGTAAAATTATTATTATTATTATTATTATTATTATTATTGTTGTTGTTGTTTGTTTATTTTTTGTTTTATGTATATGCCTAGGCCTATATAATATATATTGTATACATTTAATAATTTAATTAGAAATTATTATTTAAACTAATTGTTGAACAAATATAATATAATGTTAAAAATAATATAGGCTAAGCTAGACCTAATCAATTATTGATATAATAAAGGCAAATATTTAGAACATCATTAATACAACACCAACACTTCATGACAGTCCAGCCCTCCAAATCTTGTTTTAATAAATAACTGAATTCACTTCAATCATATATTTTGATCTTCATTCATTACTATTATTATCATTTACTTTTTATTATTATTTATTTAATTATTTATTATTATTATTATTATCTGTATTATAATTATTATTATTAATATTATTATTATTATTATTATTATTATTATTATTATTATTATTATGCGGCAGTGCCGATAGAAAACAGCAGCTTTTTTTGGCAAACTGCGGCAGTGCCGATAGCCACTACCGTCATGGCGGGTTGCGATTTTTTTTTCCGTACGAAACATTTACATGAAACTCCACTCGGGCCGTCTCGGCTGAATCGACCCGAAAATCTCATTGCAGAATTCAGGAGGTCAAAAGGGTAAACATAGAAAGAGCAATAATTGTAAAACTCGAGCGTCACGACATTGCGAAGTGTCTGCTCTTGCTCCTCGTATCGTACTCACTCGAGTCAACCCGAAATGGCCCGAGTGAAGTTTCATGCAAATGTTTCGTACGGAAAAAAAAATCGCTGGCGGGTTAGGCCTATATATCAAAAACATTATATTTTTAAGACAGCAATGATAAGGTTTTTAAAATGTAGTATTAAGTATATTAATCTTTTATGAGTCAACTAAAATCGAGTTATTATTCCTAATTTTATATTATTTGTAAAAATATAAATGTAAACAACAAAAGAATACAAAAAATAAAACTAGCCTTGGGCCTAGGGCCTATGTTGATTGACATTTTGCGCCAGTTTCTCGTCCTGAACTTTAACCTCATTCACATTTCGCGCGATTTGCGATTTGCAGAAAATTTTGGATTTCTTTGATAAGGAGGAAGACTGCAGCCTATTTACTTACAATGCTTGCTTGATAATTTACATATAACAAATAATATTCTGATGAAATCATCGCGCCTTTGAAAAGTTTCAGGTTTGTTTGGTATAAGCATAGCCCTAGGCTTAGCCTAGCCTAGCCTAGGCCTATACTAGGCCTACACTTAGTTAGCCAGTTAGGCCAATGAATGTCTTGGTTGTCTTGACTGTGACGACTTGTGTTTGCCTGTGTAACCCACTCTTTTGCCTGTGCGTGCCTGGCGTAGGCTAGGCGTAGACTACACAGAGGTTAGGCTAGGCTTTGCTAAGGAGGTCTAAGCTAGCCATTGCAAAGGCTAGCCTAGGCCTATAAGCAGCAAAAAACAAAAACCGCAAATACAATCTTCAAAGAATATTTGGTCATTAACATTTCACTCGAATCAAGAAGAAACAATATTGCCATATATTATACTCTATATAGGCTAGGTACGTGACAACAAATTTTGAATGCAAGGAATTCCTTTGCAGCCAGTAAGTACCATTTAAAAGAGCATTGCCATTAATTAATGTAGCATTACATTGATACCTATATCCTCCGTCAAATATCAACAAAGTTACAGAATTTAAGAAATTATTAATTATGCCTGATTTTGGTCCTTCAAAACCAATGTAAACAATTATAGAAAATTTTCTTGAAAAATTATCAAAAACTGCTTTAACTTCTTTGTTTTTTAGACATAATGTATTTCAATAAAATATAAAGAATTTGAAAGCATGCAACGAGAGCAAAAAGGAATTGTGAAGCTCATTAAAATTCAATCATTTATTAATTAAATTATAATTAATTAATTAAAAGTAACTAATTACCATTATAATTATATAGACATAACTCAATGTATAAAGACATATGGTCAAAAAGACTTTAAAAAATACAAGATTTTAAAACTAGATATGAAGAAATATATTAATTAGACAAAACTTTTTTTATTCTTTGTTTCGCGTACTAATTTTTTTGAAAAAAAAGAGGACGGAATAGAAGTAAAAATGAAATAAAATAAAATTTTAGTTTTCCTATTTAGCAAATAGTTTTGCCAGGAACATCCAGACGGAGGAGAAAATAAAAATAAAATTTTATTGGTGAATGTAAAATAGGATGGTTAAATGCTTTAATTTATATTATTAAAAGAAATATACATATCTTATCTTTGGCGATTTCAAGGCAGCTGAGGGCATAATTATAAAGAAAACATTTTATTTTTTTTCCTGAAATTTCCACTTTTTCGTTGCGGTGGGTGCACTAATTGGCCAAAATTAAAATTTATTTTTAATATTCGAAATCATCAATATTTGTAATCGGCGGGTTCGCTAAACAAAGTATAACAAATCTGGCCTTGCAGTGTTCTCCCAATTGAAAAATTTTTACTGGTAAATTTGTCCATAAAAATTCAGCAATGCATGCAGTGTGAGGTGTTACCCCATTTGAGTGGGGTTTAATGAAATGAAGAAACCAGAACACACATTCATAGCAATAGACTGGAAAGACATTACTGAAAGAGAGCCAGCCTAGACTACCTAGGCCTAATCAGTAGTTTTTTTTTTACAAACTCAAAATTTTTACTGGTTGGCCAGTTATTTTTACCGGTAAAATGGACGGCTAAGACGGCTTCGGGAGAACGCAGCCTTGACACAAATTGTTTTCAGAGCAATATAAACTTGGATTCAATTAACAAAATAAAACATAAAATCGTGACACTGTATATGTGTTTTGTGATACCTGTATGTGATTGCAGCAAGACCAGACATGCTTGACATCAGCCTGCACCACAAAAACAGATAGATTTGGGAAATTTCCATTAACAAACAAATTTAAATTTTTGGTCAAAAACAAGGTTTCAGTGTTCAAATTAACTAAAATATATTACACACAGTTGTGGATGAGTATATAAACTAACAGAATAAACTGGTTTTAGAACAAAATAAACTTGTCTTCTTTGAAATAATTGCATGTTTTTGACAACCAAAACTTTTGGCAATAAAGTCACTCACTTTGCGAAGTTGAAAAAAATTGGTTTGATGATGAGGTCAAACAGGAAAATGTGAACTACATCATCAGTATTTTCGGGTCATAGTGAAAACAATAAGTATGACCTCTGCAGCAAAAATAGAGGGCTGTGCAGACAGTCAAGTTGCTGGCAGAAAATGATAGCGGTACCATGGTATCACGCTCTCAACAGCGGATAGTCGCGTACCTACATATAAAACTTTTGTAGATTTAATTAAATATTATAAATTAATTATTTTTTGTGTTGTAAATTATTGTTATAAATTCAACTATAACTCATTCTTATAGGTCAATTTAAAAAACTTATGAAGAATCTATGTTATTGTAATTGTATGAAAATCAGCCAAAAACCCCTACTTAGGGGACAATTTCGAGTTTCACTGCCGAAACTACTGTGTACTGGCCATACGTAGACCCAGGTAGAGGGATAATTATTTGTTTAATCATTTTCACTTAAGTTTTTTCATTTAACTGTATAATGTTTTATTCAACTAATAATTTTATAATGATCATCACATATTTTTAAGTAGTTTCTAACAGATTATTCTATTTAATATCCTTGTACGTACTGTACATAAATACATACTGTACTTACTGTTACTGTACGTATATGCAAAACTTAAATTTATTTCTTATCTAACTTTCATTTGATAGGCCTAACTTATTTATTTGTTAACCATTTCTAATGTTCATACAGGTAAATGATCATCGTTTTAATCTTTGCATTCCGTTAATATTATCAAACATTTTAATTTGTTAAATAGATTATAACATTTTTTTTGTTATAATTTATAAAGAATTAAAGAATAAATAGAATCATAATCATATATGGGAATATATATATATTTCATATCTGGTGGTAGCCACTGTGTGCGCTGAACCGTGAAGATCTCTAGGTCCCAGCTGGTTCCCATCGCTGCCTCTCCTTGTGTTTCAGCTGGAAGGCTGAAATACAAGTTAGCACACCGTCTTTCAGATGAGACGGTTAAGCTGTTGGTCCCTTGTGCATCTATGGCCCATGTGCATGTTAAAAAACGCAGTACACTCTTCGGAAAAGAGTAGGGGATTGTCTCCCAGTGTACTGCCCAATCACTACCAGAAGGACCCCACTGGAAATAAGTCTTCTAGACTTTTGTGGGCTATCCTTGGTGTTTACACCAAATAAATCAAATCCAATCCAATTTATTGAATTATACTCCCTATTTCACTTTTATTTATTTTTATTCTACAACCACTTGACAACCTGTAAGAAGCATATCAAGGAGCAGTATACTGTACTATCAAATGACATTGAGACAGTTTCACCAAGATGAAGTGAAAATTGCTTATCTAAAAGCTGCCCAGGAATTAACTGAACTGCAAGTCATTGCTTAATTGTATTTTTATTATTTTTTTTATATTTTTTCAATACAAGTGTTTGATCATACTGTTCGTTTATGTAGGTACAGTATATTCTACAAAGGACCTGATTGTCTGTAAGCGCAGGGTAACGGGTTGTATGGGGTAGTACATCTGGGTAACTGCCTACTCGTCTCGAAAGATGTACTGTTCTCGTTAAAGTGCACAACATCCAAATTGTGTACACTGGCCTACGGTTTGTAGTCCTTATCTGAGAAGACTTGTTCCACCACCAGAACCACAGGCAAGCGTGCTCTTTAAATCAGCGCCGATAGGTTCCGGTGCCGCTGCCTTAACTACTCGGCCATTCGACTTGCCTATCATGTACATGCTTCACTGTAATTTTTGATACAGTGGAGTCACAAAAATTTATGTTTGTTTTTATCACTAAGCACAGTTTTTGTTCTCTTCCAGGTAAAATTGGTTTGAAATATTTGTCACTCTCAAAATGTATGTTATGCTTAAATAAACTAGAAAACTTTAAGCATTGCCATACAGAACATTATTTGTTTATAATACTCACCGACGACTGAAAGAAACTAGTACATGTAACCGGAATCTCTGAAATGGCCAAAGTTCAAATTACCAATGTGCGGGTACTGGACAACCCTGCCTCATTCCTGAATCCATTTCAATTTGAAATCACATTTGAATGTTTGGAGGATTTACCTGAAGGTTGGTTAATTGTTTGATTTAATTCTTGATTACTATGTAAGTAGTGGTTCTTCTAATAGACTAGTTTGGCCTTTGACATTTTCTTGTGTAATTATTTGTGTGTTTGTGAGTAGACCAGGTTTGTAAACTCAAAAACTGTGCACACAATCTTACTGAATTCATGTCATGTATTTAGTGATGGGCATGTAGATGTGAATAATCATCTTTACATTTGTTTTTAAAATTGAACTTGTATGAGATAAAACAATACTAATGGCTAATTCCCGCAGCTTAGAGAATAGTAACAACTATTATTATTATTATTATTATTATTATTTAAAAATTATTTAATAATTATTTTTCTTATGATGTATTAAGTAAAGCTCATCATTCAGGAATCTCAAAGATAACAAAATCTTTTGTAGAATGTCAGAGGTGAGAGAAGCAATTCAGATAAAGTGCCTCGTTCAAGGACATGCAAAGTACACACAGAAAGATTGAAACTCCTTATCTTGATGTTGGGACACCAAACCGTTCCTGCTGCGCAAACTGCTTTTTTTTGTATCTTGAATATTTTCATTACAAAAGCTCTGACTTAATTTTGAATTTGACAGGCAATTTAATATCTTTTACAATTTAATTCAGATTTAGAGTGGAAGATAATTTATGTAGGTTCGGCAGAAAGTGAAGATAATGATCAGGTTCTTGATACGGTTCTTGTAGGGCCAGTGCCAGCAGGCAATCACATGTTTGTTTTCCAGGTAAGAAATTTAGGAAGTTGAATATAATTTGCTTTATTTAAGAAACAATAGTATGGTATTTGTTTTTTCTGTGCTTTTTCTTTAAACTTTAGGATCAAACTTTTTTCACAGCTGTTTGTGATAACATCTGTAAAATGAAACAAATGAGAGCTTGTGTCACAATAAATAGTTTGATTGTTATCATTGTAATCTTTGATCAACAAGTTATTACTGCCATTTACTACATCTTTGTTATATCCAGTTCCATATCTACACTGGTGATAATGCACCTTTTCTTTGTGTACTGTCCTCTTTGGAATGAGCTTCCCTTATTTGTTAAAACTTTGAGTAAATTAAATACATTAAAGTAAATTTTAAAACATATTTATGCAATACACTCTCAAGGTAAACTGCACCTTTGATCATTGTTCTAAAAAATGTGCATTATAAATATTTGTGTATTATTATTGTCATCATCAATAATAATACACAAATATTTATAATTGTGTATTATTATTGTTATCATCAATTGTGTCAGACATCTGTCCTTTGTCCAGAACTTTGTATTTCAATGGTAACCCTAATAGTTAAATATTAGAGTAGTGTGTCATTATCAATCAGTCAAGGGTGGGCATAAAATAAGCCAGAGGGCCAAAGGCAATTTTTGAATTAACACAGAGGACTGCACCTAAACTTTAATGCTTCCATTGTGCTTGCAAGAACCTTCATGCCCTGCTAATATACCCATTTATTCTCAGTTTTAATATTAATTTTCATACATGATTGGCTTCGGGCCGTAAAAACAAGTATTTTATAGTCATAAATTGTTAGTGGACCATGCACATAGGGTTTTTAATTTATTTTTGCAGGCCGCAACAAAGTCACAGACAGGCTGCATGTGTCTACAGTCTGCACTTTTACCGCCTATGTTATAGACTAATGGACCTATTTATCCTATTGCTTTACTAATACTGCCCTCTGTTGGTGACTCTTTTAGAGGATTTCCCTAACGTCATAGTAACTAGGCAAGGCTTAGCGATTGTATAGAGCAAAAATCAGCAATTTTTTCTGTTAGTGATTGATGTACTTGGATAGAAGAGGATAGCAGGATTGTTTATATAATAATTAATTAATTAATAAATAATATGAATATGAGGAAAGACTTTTACTAGAAACTTTAGCAGCGCAACCAGTAATGCTAGGCCTAGGTCTGCAAACGTTCATTTCGGGTTTGGTCATGTACATGGACCCCCCACTCATATTTCAATATCCCTACCCCCATCTTCTCTATTATTATTATATTATATTATTATTTCATCAAGTGTACTAGTTTTAGTGAAATATATCATAGGTCCAGTAGTCCACCCTAGTTAGAAATAAGCATATGTAGGCCTAGCTACAGTAGACTTGCCCTCTATTGGGGGAGGGGGCTTGTGATAGAAGCCGTTCCCCAAATTATTACCTTTGTGACCTTGGGCATAAAAAAAACACATTTTATTTCTGTAGAAAACAACTTATTCCACATAATGCGTAACATTTATGAGCATAGGAATTTTTTTAGTGCCGTTTACATGGGGTCTATGGGAAAAATGTACCCTTTTTTGGCCCCTAAATTGCAATTTTGGGGCACATGACCTTTGACCTAGGTAAAAAAGTCGAACAATTTTGCTATTTTTCGGAAGCCCAAAACATTTTACCCAACAATCAAACCCAACATTTGCAGAAAGTTAGTCATAAAAATTTATTATGTGTTTTTCAGAAACCTACTAAAACCCTTTATGGGGCCCCAGCGACCTAGAATAGACCCCCTTGGGACTTCAAAGGGTTAAGTTTTAAGGTGGATAACTGATACAGCATGGGTCACAGAGTGCTGAATTTCAATCTGAAGTTTTATAGTACTCATTATTAAAGCATGGATCACAAATAGATTACTGGGTTTCAGTCCACTACACCTTACTTTAGACTCAATGCAACTCATATTGTTCTAATATCTAATTTTTTTAAAACTTTATTTTCAAAGGCAAATGCACCAGATATTAAGAAGATTCCAATTCAAGATTTACTTGGTGTTACTGTTACACTAATCACGTGTTCCTACCGGACACAAGAGTTTGTACGAGTTGGTTATTATGTAAATAATGAATATGATGACCAAGAAATGAACGAGTCTCCACCCTCAAATCCAGAGTATGATAAGGTATCAGACATTTGAACAATTATTGAGTGTACATCAGGTAAAATAATGTAGTGTTGCCCAAGCAATATACTGTATTGATTTTATCAAAGTATTTTGGGCTAAAAATTGACAGTCATCAATAGGAGTTGAGCTGTAGCATTCCAAATCCTGGCCTCAATCCTTACAAATATTGTTAGAGAATTAATATTACCAATTATCATTAAGTGGATTTCTTTATTGAATTTTAATGTTTATTTCCACCATATATTTTATTTAATCTTCTTTAATTTTAGTTAATTTACATGCTTTGATTTTGTTGGTTATTTTTTATATAAAAAAATGGTAATGTTTTCTTTTAGATACTTCGGAACATCCTGGAGACAAATCCCAGAGTGACAAGGTTTACAATTGATTGGGAACAGAATCCTAATAGTGAAAACATCCCCCCAGCATCTGAAAACCAACAATCTTCAAGTTCTCAAATGAATGGTGTATCCTGCACTGATGTTGCCATGGAGAAACTAAGTAATGATGTATCAGTAAGTGCTGATAGTAACAGCAGTCTCCCAGAGTATGTTAGCGCCATGCAACATTGATGCTAACACCAGTCTCTCAGTACATTAGCACCATGCAACATTGGTGTTAACATCAGTCTCTCAGAGCATATTACCACCATGCAACATTGATGTTAACATCAGTCTCTCAGAGTACATTGATGCCATGCAACATTGATGTTAACATCAGACTCTCAGAGTATATTAGCGCCATGCAACATTGATGTTTACATCAGTCTCTCAGAGTATATTAGTGCCATGCAACATTGATGTTAACATCAGTCTCAGAGTATGCTAGCAACATGCAATATGGATCATAACAGCAGTCTCCCGGAGTATGTTAGCGAGATGATGCAACATTGATGTTAACAGCTGTCACCCGGAGTATGTTATCAACATATTTTTTATCTTGTTGATTTTAATTTGCATACAAATATCTTGATTTTGAATATTTTGGAGATTAAGGAACAGCTTATTTTAAGAGTAAGCATTTATTTACTCATTTTGGAAGAAATACCTGTAAAATACATTCATACAAAAATGAGAAAAACACATACAGTGAACTTAACAGGAAGGTACTTTGTGTATAAGAATGATTTATTATTAAAGTCTTTTGATCAGTTTATTAAAAAAAGGATGATTAAGCAGTACTGTGAACTGAAGGGGATACCTGATGTGGCTAATAACAAAAGCTATTAACTGTAAATAGAACAGTGATCATTCAGTGATGCTGAATATTCACAAATACAACACAATTGATAAGAGCATTCTGACCTGAATCAACATGTGAAAAAAGCAGATATTGTTAATCTGCGGGAAAAAAAAAATTGGTGTAGAAAACACCTTCACTAATGATATACAGTACTGTGTGAATATTATCTATTACTATAACACATTGTCACTGTCAATTCCAAGCGTACTTGTATTACAGTGTGGTGCTGTGCACTTCACTATGGGTGTACATTCACATAATAAGATAGCGATTTCTGCGTGAAAATTCTGTAGTAACGCAGTGAAGGACGCCCTCTTGCAATTACAATTACTTTTGAACTTTGACATCTATGATCTCAGTGCAAATTCTGGAACAACCACCATAGTAACAACTAGGACGCCCTCTTTCATTTACAATTACTTTCTATTGTTTTTTGCATGAATTGCACTCTTCTGTTTGTTACATGCATACCGCGGAGAAAGCTATCTTCTTATAAGATCTTTGATGTGAGCTCAACAAGCATTTATCTGGCAGTGCAGGAAAGATTGTTTTACATTCCTTCCAGTAGATTCCTTCATGAAGTTAGTGAAAAATTTGCTATATAACTACATGGAATGTCATAGAGGACAGCATTAACACTTGCGATTTGTTCCTGCAGTATATCAATATATCATTAGTTTAATAATATTTAATTCAATGTTTTTAAATTTCCTATTACCAATTCCATTTCTAATTTTATTTCATGGGTACTGTACTAAGCTGACTCAATAGTGAATTTTGTCAGACATGCATAAAACAACTGTTACCACATATTGTATTTTACAAACTCAACCATGTCAGTACTGCCCTCACTATTGTGTTCACTGCTGTAATTTTTTTTTGCGGAAAAGATCACAACCATGGTTGGACTGGCAAGGTTAAAAATAATCCCAATATATTCTCTCAATAATTATAATATTCAAAGATTTGGAGGATTAAATTCAGTTGCTCATGGGAAAATCAAAATAATCCCAATATATTCCCTCAATAAGTATACTATTCAAAAATTTGGAGGATTGAATTCAGTTGCTCATGGGAATATTTTTATACAGCAATAAAGTAAATCAGTGGTCAAAAAATTGCACTACCTTGTTGCTTTTGGATTAATTAAATATAGCACATTAGTAAGTACATCATTTTTAGTGTAACTCCAGTGTATATACATGATTTCTCTGTTAACATGTGTACCCATATTTTGTATATAAATGGTTTCTCTGTTAACGTGTGCGCCATATTTTTCCCCAGTATAAATAACTTAAGCCGGGCACTCATTGCGCATGACGTGTGTTGGCTGACGTGAGTCTATAAAGAACGCAACATGACGACGGACACAAAATGATCCGTTAAGACTGTCACCGACAATTAGCAGACGATGTCGCGTTGTCTATCGCTCACAGAGATAGACAACGCAGTGAGTGCCTGGGTTTACAGTGCAAAACTTCAGTGTATCATAGCAAAGAGAACTCTGTTGCACAAGCTGACCAATCCATGATTTAGAGGATCTAGGGTTTTTTTGGCAAAAAGGAGCCCAAAATACTTGTAAGATGTTTCAAAGGCACTAACTTTTCAAGCTTTTACTACAAAATTTTGTAACTTAACCTGGATTTTAGACCCGTGGCAACCATTTTATCAACCAAAATGCCTGGGAGAGATGGAGGCACAGACTTCATCTCTGAACTGAGTGTGAGGGCAATTAGTACATTTAAAAAAGAAATCTGCAAACCTGGGCAACATGAATTTTTTTTTGCCTTATTGTAGTTCTGTACTGTATATTACAGTAAATGCTGTTGTTTTTAGTGTTATCTATTGAGTTTTTGTATCTACCATTCTGGAGGATTGTTTAATACTACATGTTTTATTTATAATGTAGATAAGGCTGAGATTGATGGAATAAAAAGATACATAATGCAAGTCATTGATGTTAAATACTTTCATCCAAATACTGTATTTGTCATTTGTTTTTTGAACATACTAATACAGTACCTTCATATGCTTGGCTTTTGAAATCCCAACAATTTTATGCAGTATGTTGTTTACCTTATTTTATTTTAATTTTATTTCAAATGCCCAGGGTTGTAGCTAATGAAAACTAAGGGTGGGGATAGAGAACTCTAGATAATGCGAGTGGATTTTAAGGATGGAAAGTGGGTTAATAAAGGTGGGTGGAAGGTCATGGAATTACATTTGGACTGGGTGGAAAATTTCAAGGCTGGGTGGCCCCGCCCACCTCCACCCACTATAACTACATCCATGAACACCATTTAACAGTTAAAAGCCAATTACAGGATTACATTAATAAAAATATTACAAAATACAGTACAAATTAGATATTAAAACAAAAATACTTGTGTCCCCAGTCTTTAAAAAGTAGTTAAAATCACCTTAATGTGCGAGTTCGCCTCTCAACTGATCATCGAACCCCCTACTAAACCTTTACGCTCCCATCATCACCCTCACTACAAGACTTCTAGATACGCCACTGCGCAGATACAGTACTACTGTATTGATGATTAATGATGGTGAAACATGATGACGACAATCTTGTTGATTTATGTTTATCTAAAACTGCCGTAATATGGAAACCCCTAATACAATTAAATTATCAAATACCTGCAGTAGTGCATTTAAGGTTCATGTATGTTATTAGCTTCCAATAACACAAAGATTGAAACAAAATACGTTTTTTGATGATGGTTGATTATACTGATTGTTTTGCTCATTTTGAAGTAACAATTTGATTGGTTAATAATTATTATGTTTAACAAGAGCAATTTAATATTTATAAATTTTAAAATAATAATAATTTTTATGAATTTTTCAGGGGAAAATGCATCTTTAAAATCTAATTTTTAACTGAAATAATTACTGTACTTGCATGGAAATTTAGGCCATGTCAAAAAAAAAATAAAAAAAGCTTGGTTAAAATCAATAAGATATTAAATACTTATGTCAAATACAAGCAACAACTGTTTATTACTGCACTGTATATCTATATTATAATAATCATAAATTTCCATTATATAACAGTAGGCCTAGGCATCACGTTGGTAATTGTAACATTTTTGATTTTAAGAATTAAAAAATTGTGGGCTTGAATTGGACGTTCAGGATGGGATGCTAAACAAGTGTTCTTTAAACAGGGATCTGGTATTCATGTACAGTAGTTTCCGGTCCAGTAGGAGTGCACTCGCATTTTCAGTTCCTATTTAATACCATTTCAGAGCACTTCGTAGACATATTTATATGGATGCAGTTTAATATAATTATTTTGCTGCGGTTAATAATCTCAATTATATTTATAATTGTTTCCTTTTAAATAGGCAGGCATCAGTCTAGGCCTATGACCTTTAACACACGTCCATTTAAAAGTTGCCTGAGGAAAAAAAATGTAATATTTTGGCTAGAGAAAAAAATTATATAAATAAAAGAATCCAAGTTCTCTAATGAAAAAAAAGGATTAAAAAAAAAAAAAGCTGGAGGGGACACCCGGATTTGAACCAGGGACCTCTCGATCTGCAGTCGAATGCTCTACCACTGAGCTATATCCCCTTCCTTAGAAAATAGGCGATTATTGTTGAGTAATAAACCTACCCACTATTACATTATATGCCGCGTAGCTTAACCTAGATACTAGCTGTAGAATCGTTTTGTTTTAAATTTTTTAAAGAATTATCTAAAGCAACCTGATCCGCAAAATCCCTTTAAGTCATTAATATAGCGTGGCCGCCGTGGGTGAGTCCTGAGGAGCTCAAGAGTCGAACGTCATCCGTCCGTCAGAGCACGATTTTCATTAGGTTAGGGGACCCTTTTCTATGGCAACATCATTTGGACGCTACGATGATCGTCGTCGGCAGGCTGCACAGAGTGGACGGTAATGTAAGTTAGGGCCTAGGATCTAGGCCTAGGGGTTAGTTTTATTTTGTAAATCATTATTATTTATATTAACTAGGCCTAGGCAGGCATGGCCTATAGTTAAACTAATGCCCTGCTCAAATTCATACATACATAGGCCTTGGCTACAGCCTACTAAACCTGTCCTAGGCTAGGCCATAGCCTAGTAGGGCTAGGCTAGCCTAGGCTAACCCGGCCTACAAAGTCTGGGCAAAGTAGGAAGCATACTGTACTGTCCTAATTTCTAGCTAGGCTTAAGCCTAGGCTCAGGGTCCTAGACCTAGTAGTAGTAGGCAGCCTAGTAGTAGGCCTAGGTAAAATTAAATAGGCGAGAATGTATCAGTCAAGACGTTTATAGGTGGAAGAGTCTCTTCCACCTATAGGGACCTAAACGTCTTGACTGATACATTTTCGCCTATTTAATTTTACCTAGGCCTAGGCCTACTACTAGGCTGCCTACTACTACTAGGTCTAGGACCCTGAGCCTAGGCTTAAGCCTAGCTAGAAATTAGGACAGTACAGTTATGCTTCCTACTTTGCCCAGACTTTGTAGGCCGGGTTAAGAGAGTTCAATTTTCAAAAAGAGAAAGAACATAAAAGTTTGTTAAAATATTTTAGTTAAGGCCAAATATTAAAATATAATTATTTGCTAGTTTCACATCCCAGCACTCATCAAATTTTGGAGCCTCATGTATGAAAAAAAATTACAATTTTTGCTATTTAAAAAAAAAAAAAATTATTTTTCCATGACAATAAAAATCTTATTCCCGGCAAAATTTCACTAAAAAATATTTTTTAGAAAAATTGCATGCATTACTATTATTAGCACATGTAAAATAAATAATTGGTTAGCATCCCCTCTCCACCATCAGAGAGGCCACTGACCCGATTTTTTTTTTTCAAACACTCACAAACTCCATTAATATAGGTTTGTTTACCACCCGTCTGCTCACTAGCCAGACCAATTGCAGTTCTATGCTCTACTGTTGTTCTGTACTAGGTAAAAAATAAAATAATGTAAATAAAAATTATTAAACGTATACATTTATCCAGTATCATTCATGTGTTTTTCCCACGATATGGTGTGAATGAGGTAGGTAGACCCTCCATCTGTAAAAGTCCCTCTCTGGACTCTATTTCAAATTCCTGGATCCACCACCGTAAACTTTGATATGTTATGAATCTTTTCAGCTCTACAAATAATAAGGAAGGATAGCTTTTACTTTTCATGTTTCTATACAGTACTTTATTTTTCATGACCTTGTGAAATATAATCTGTAATCAATTAAATTAGTCCTCTAGTCTATTAAAATGCTGTAGCTTCTGGTGGATTCGCCTTCGGCCCCCACCAGGGATCTGCCCCTCCATCCTGCTGGGTCCTAGGCAAATCTGCCCTGGGGACCATGGCCGCTCTTTGCGGCCTTGTGGAATGCTCTCGCTTTTGTGTATACTTTATACAATCGAGTGTCGAAGATAGGCAGGGTAGTTGTTTCGTGAACCCGCCACATCCTTATCTTCTTATCTATTTTTTTTTTATCTCGCCCACCAATGCCATGTACATTCATGATATGTAAAGATATTTTAAATTATCCCACAATTGATTAAAAAAAACATCATTAAGTTTTACTGAACTGTTTACATCGCCGATACAATCGTGAGTGATAAATAAAGTGCGCCCTTTTATTGATATTAGTTTTTGTACTTTGCATCTCGCACACTGCAGTCGATCCAGTAGGCCTGAGATATGTGTGTTTAATGGTCAAAATCTCAGTCAGTGCCCCAGATTTGAAATAATTAAAATGAAATATTATGTAGTGTGTCCATACAGTACTAGCAACTGAAAATATCATGTCAGCCGTGTTTATGTCTGATAGATAACAGAACCTACATTAAGGCAAGGCTAGGCTAGGCTAATGTTTCTGGCGCCTACTATTTTTCTTTGCAGACCTATCACAAAATCATCCACGTTTATTTTTTGTGAACACAAAAAAAATCTAATTTCAGTCTTATTTTATGTCTAAATTCAGTTAAATTAGCAATTTCGTATTATATTTATAATACTTATAAACTAAAATTTTGCCGTTAATGGGGCATAAAATTAAAGTTTATCACTAAAATTCAAGATTCTATATAATAGGCCTATGCTATGTGTCAATGTTGTATGACCATGCCATTTTTAGGCCTAGGATTAAGTTTCACGTGTTTGTTATTGCCCCTGAATATGGGTATCCCTATACAGGTGACATCCCTATTAAGGGGACACTATTTGATTCTGAATGTGTTCCCTTAAATAGGTTTTCTACTGTAATACTGTATTTGAACTTTATTTTCAAATACATCACACTAATGCAATTTGTTGAATATTCTCTGCATTTCTTCCTATGTATTTAGCAAACACTGTTACACGATGGCATCCAATGAAGATAATGCACCTACACCACAAACTGAAGTAAAACAGGCAGAAAATGATTCTAGGCCTACATCAAGGGCCAAGAGTGGAACACTGAAACCACAAGGTGGTGAAAATGTACCTTCCAGACAGGGTAGTGCAAAAGCTTCAAAGCCTTCAAAAGGCAAGAAGACTTCACAAAGCAAAGGTTTGTATTATAAAAAAATATTATATAAAAGAAATTTATGCATGACTTCAATGAAAACAGTTTACTACCGTAAAAAATTAATTTTCTGATAAAGTGACATAGAAAGAAATCAGAAAAAGTTCATTCACAGAATAATAAGTATTTTTTACACTGGTACTTGTGTATGTCAGTTCCAAATTTGAACAAGTTAATAAAAATGTTTTGCTATTTGCATTTGATCCTAATCGATCTTGTATTTTAGTTGTATTCAATAGGCTCAAAGTAACATTTTCCATAGAATATGAATTTGTTATATTTTCATTAATCAGTCTTAACTACTTGATATTGTCTAATTATTTACTGCTGTAATATCTATATCTATGTGTTCAACCAAGTTAATGTAAAACTTACTGATAATGTTTTTTAATATTTAGGGAAAGCTAAGAAAACAGAAGTGGAAGATCAACCTTCAAAAGATGCAGCTGAAGATAAAGGTATATTCAAATGAAAATTGTGTAATGGAATAACATTCTGTAGGTTCTTTGCGATGGCAATCAACTTTAAACTATTCCTTACTTCCATGCTCAACAGATAGCCTTCCTGAAAATGTCATCCCAATCTTCCTCTCATCTAAAAGTCAAGAAATATTTCACTGTGCAACTGACGAGGAAGTAACTATGGAGGATCCTTTCAAATTGATTTCAAAGGAAGACATTATCCAAGATCTGAAGATGAGGGCAGGTGTCTGTGACTTTGCACCAATAAAGCAAAAAATTCTGGTAAATATAGTCATATTATTCAGCATTGT